TACGTCTTTTTACGATAAAAGAAATATTGATTTGAAAAATCTTGCAAAACTCAAAAAATGCAATAAAAGTAAATTATTATTTAATTAGAACGGTTTTAATTGACTTTATAAATAAAATATATTATGGGCGCTATTGTTTGTAGAAAACATTCTTTTTCAATGAATAACTAAATTTTACAAGAATTCTTTTCATTATTTTTAGAATTTTAATTAGAATAATTCATTAACTTTTAAAATTCAGTATTAATTTGTAGAGATCAGGTGACACTGTTATTAAATTAAGTCTGTATTTATTAATAAATGAAAAAGCTCACTACAATTCAATGACCCTCAGTATTTTAAAAATAATTTTGATTTTTATGTGTGTATAAGCGTTGATTTTTGTAAATACGGACGTCCATACACGACATTATCAGAAAATAAGAGAGGTACCTATAATAAATTAAATTTTTATTGGTAATTTTCTGGCATTTTCTTTACAAGCGTCTTCATGTGTAAGGTTATAACGCCAAAGTACTTAAATTCAATAAAGTATTAGAATGCTTAAAATATTTCAAATTCTTAAAATTCTTGGGTAGTTAGAAATTATATATAAAAAAGGCGTTCACGTTGTATTCATGTTTCCAGTTACCTCCCTTTACGTAAATTTCCTGGACATCAGCCTGTCTATAAATCATTCAACACGTCTAAAATATCACCTCCGTCTTTAAAAAAATCCTTTTCTATCGTACTGTAAATGAAAAGTAAGTAATATCTGTTTCAGTTCAGATTAATTAAACGTTAAATCGGCTATTTTTCTCCAATAATGTTTCAGAAACGCATATTTCATTTTTGAAATATTTTGTTTTATTAAAGAGAGTTACTTAGTGTTGACATTTTACTCAGAAGAAGAAAAAAAAGATTCCAATCAATTTATGTTCGGTTTGGAATACACTAAAGTATTTTGCTTTAAAAAAATATTAAATTTAGTTTAATAAATTTAATATTAAATTTAATCTATTAGTTGGAAATTAAAACTAAAATTAAAGCTTGAAGAATGTGTTTTCATTTTTTATTAATTTTATTTCAAACTTTGGTATTGCTTTTATTAGTGGAACCTATCTTTATGTAAACTCAATTTGCAGGAAAATCTTCTTTGGGAATCTGCACTTTGTTATTGCTATTTTAATGCTTTTCGTTTTGCCTCCCAGATACAAAATAAAAAAAAATATATTTATTGGCAGCATCTTTAGTTCCCGTGTTAAAAAAATGAATTTCTAGGATGAGGATGAGAGAAAAACTCTTATCTGGGAGGAAACCAGGGAAGAACTGTTGAGGCTAAAATTGGATTCTAGCAGCAACAAGTCAGATAACAAGGATTTAGAGGATGAGTTCTTTTAAAACGAATAAACTAATTTCCCAACGTCAGGCCATCATTTTAGAGGTGCCGTGTCCCTTCAGAACATAATGTAATCATGACTGTCCACAATTTCCTGTCCTTTGTAACTCTTAATAAATTTCATCTCTTTGTTATTTCTCCTAAACCTCCTACTGCCATCAATTTACTCAAACTCATTAATGTATGTCTGGCGTTGTTTACCTTTGTTCTTCTTACCGGTGAGTATCAAATTTTCCAAGCCCTCTTTCCTCATTATATATCCTAGAAACATCAACTGTCTCTTCCTGATGTTAAGTATAAGTTTCCTTTTTGTTTCCACTTTCTCTCAAACTTCGTCGTTGCTCACATATCCGATCTATGGTATACTCAGCATCCTTCTGTAGAACTTTTTTTACTGTAACTTTATTACCCCTCTTTTTCTTTGTTTCTCCATCTTTGCACTTCTTTTTTATGCCGTATCTTTTCAAGACGTGGGTGAACATGGCTCTCTCCGATTTCCTGTCTTTTCTTACTAAAACCATTGTCCCTTTACTACCCATGATTGGCCGCGCTTTCCATCCATTTACTCAAACTCGTTATGTAGGGTACTCACAATTTCCTTTTGCTTATCTTACAATCAATGTTAACTGTGGTATTATATTTTCCGGAGCTTCTTCCTTCATGCGAATCAGGAATTTTCCTCAATCCATCTTGCGAGTAACAGATTTTCAAAGCATTATTTATTAATCAAACAAGTCACTTATCTTTATGTGCCGTGTCCCCTCTAGACGTAGGCGATCATGGCTTTCCACAATTTCCTGTCTCTTTCAGATTTAGGTGAATTCTGTCTTTTCGTTATTTCTAAACTCTGTTCTGCCATCTATTTAAGGATTATTTAATAATTTAAGCTGATATAGGAAGAATGTTTACAGTCTCTGCCACGATGTCCTCCTAGTAAAGTAAGGAGACATACCGAGGAAGTATGTTTGCCGTCTCTGCCACTATGTCCCTCTAATAAGTTAAGGGGACATACTTAGGAAGTATGTTTGTCGTCTCTGCCACTATGTCCCCCTAATAAGTTAAGGGGACATACTTAGGAAGTATGTTTGCCGTCTCTGCCACTATGTCCCCCTAATAAGTTAAGGGGACATATTTAGGAAGAATGTTTGTCATCTCTGCCACTATGACCCCCTAATAAGTTAGGGAGATATAGAAGCGATTTTCTTTTTTTAGGCATATGAATCCACTTAAAAAAATCGGCTGCACCTTATTTTAAAACTGTAGGTTTTACTTTTAATTTTTCTTGCTTTTGATGGAACGGTTGAATATGACATTTAAAAGTGTAATGCTTGCTTAATTTTGGAAATAAAATTAAGCTAGTTTACGTTAATTAGCACTATAATAAATAATATAACATTAAAATATAATATAATAAAATATGATGTAAATAATATAATATATAATATATACACTAGCTTAATAATGTTCTAACTCCATGCCACGACTATGTTTCGCTTTTTCATCTCGTAAAGAACATAGTTTTATAGATATAACATATAAATTTTATATAACTTTTATAGACATGAAATATAACTTGCAGCAATTAAAAATGGTTTACAAGCGGTATATGTTTTTCGTTGTCCTTTTAATAAGTAAGCCTAGTAAATAGTCAGAATAAGTAAGCATAGTAAATAGTCAGAATGAGTAAGCATAGTAAATAGTCAGAATAAGTAAGTATAGTAAATTGTCAGAATAAGTAAGTATAGTAAATTGTCAGAATAAGTAAGTATAGTAAATAGTCAGAATGAGTAAGTATAGTAAATAGTCAGAATAAGTAAGTATAGTAAATAGTCACAATAAGTCATTTTCATTAATTATTTTGAAATAAAAAGAATGTTATATTGGCTCAGTGAATTGGCAAAATTATGATGAAATATATCATTCTCGTAAATTTTAAACCTATATTAAAATGAAGATGTTTGAACATTCTTTTTTTGGTGATAAAATTAGTATTTAATTGGGGGGATTATTTTTTTTTAAGGCGAACCGTCTGAGCCTTCTAACTATCGGTCTATTAGACTTCTACCTCTTTTTGGCAATGTTCTAGATGCTCTAATTGACTCTGATTTGATCAAACATCTCACATAAAGGCAATATCGCTTTCGCTTCTCTAGGTCAACTTCCGATGTATAAACGATTGTTTTTGAAAGAGTTTAACCAGCTTTAGATAGGACCGGTGAATGTGAAGCTCGAGCTTTTGTTCGGTTATCTCGAAGGCATTTGACAGAGTTTAGAATTCTGGGCTTCTTCACAAGTTGAAAGTTGGGGGACAATCCCAGCGTGCGACACCTTTGAAAAGTGCCTGAAAACCATGCCACGGCTTGAACCAAGCCTTGTGAGTAAAATTGGATAGGCGGAACACTAGAGGCCGTGGATGACTGTGCTAGCACGAAGTCACATATCTGGACGAATTTTTTAAATGATTCAGTCTTTCTTATCAAATCGCCAAATGAAAGTTATCTTGAATGGCTACTCTTCTTGATCTTTTTCCATTAATGCAGTTGCTTGCCAGGAATCTATCCTCGGACCGAAGTTGTTTCTAATTTTCATAAATGACCTTCCTGATGTCATCGGAATCTATATCTGATAACAGAGCTATTTACTTATGCCTTAATAGTAAATATGATCGGTTCGATAAAGTCAAAGTGGAAACTGATTTAAAAACTGGCATACAGTTTGTTGTTAACTGGAACAAGGAAGGTGGCTTGTTAATTTTAACGCCTCAAAAACGAAACTGCTCACTTTTACAGTATTTACATTATCCGGACTTCTGTCCTCATCTTTGTCGCCATATTTATTACAACGTTTCGGCCGTTGTACGCACCGGCCTTCTTCAGGTGGTTGGAATGTCGAACTGAACCCTTTATTTCGCTCACTGGGGTAGACTGTTCTAATTCCACGTGCCATGTTTAAATGGATGTCAGTTATCAGTTATCTGTTAATTCTCCTCTCCAAGCTCTCCACTGCCTTAACCGGGTATTGAACTCACACTCTTTGGGTCCTGTCACTGGATCTAACCAACGCCTTTATCCACTGTGCCGTGTGTACATAATACCTCATCTCAGAAATATAGACAGATGCTCTCTTTTAATTGTCTGAGAGAACCCGGGAGAGGAACATATTGCGGCTTCTCAGACTATCGTTTTCCGCAGAAATTTCTAAGTCTGCAGTTACGGAGTTGATACTTTGTGTCATGCTAGACAATTTTTCTTGCGTCTATCTAATATATTTCTAAGTCTATCAATTGTTCATATTCTAAATATTTCTACCACAGCTGGTCTGGTGCTCCTGCAATATATTTAGACATTCTTGATAAAATCCATCGAAGAATCTCTAATGTTATTTGTCCTGACCTGGCATCTCGGCTTCAGTCACTTTCCCATCGCCGTTCCTGTGCCTTTTCTATAAACACACTTATTAGTATCTTGTGCCTTAGTGGCTTTATCACCTTGCTTTGTGTAAAACGATTATATATGAGAATTTTTCATTGGGGTTTTAGCATGACACATAGTTATTAGATGATTTTGATGTTGAATGTTCAGTGTTTTAAGTTCGATTTTTGTAATTAACGTTCGTCGTTGATTTACGTGCAGGGACAAAGAAGGGCAATTAAGGTGAAAACTTCAGGAGATTTATTAGCATTCGTAATTACATTCACGTAGATAGATAGATAGATAGATAGATAGATAGATAGATAGATAGATAGATAGATTTGAACAAGCTGAGATAAATATGAACAAACTGAGATAGATAAGAACAGACTGGGATAGATAGATAGATAGATAGATAGATAGATAGATAGATAGATAGATAGATAGATATGGACAAACTGAGATAGATATGAACAGACTGGAAGACATAGATAAATAGATAGATAGATATGAACAAACTGAGATAGATATGAACAGACTGAGATAGATAGATAGATAGATAGATAGATAGATAGATAGATAGATAGATAGATAGATAGATAGATAGATATGAACAGACTGAGATAGATAGATAGATAGATAGATAATGAACGAATATATTTCAAGAATTTTCTTGGCATTAAATGACCCACTGATGTTTTGATATGCCATAAAACAAAACAACCAAACAACCAACCAAATAGACGTATCCAACAAAATAACGTTTAAAATAATATATATATATATATATATATATATATATATATATATATATGACCATGAAACTCAGGTTCGGATCCCACCATGGTCGATTTGTCAGGAAGGAGACTTCCTAATGTTATCGGTTTGTGGGGGGGCGATCTCAGCGTGCGGCACCTTTGAAAAGTGCCCGAAAACCATGCCACGACTTGAACCAAGCCTTGCGAGTTAAATTGGATAGACGGAACACTAGGGACTGTCGATGACTGTGCTAGCACGAAGACACAAGTCATTGTGAACGAGGGTTTGAGCATGCTGGTGTTGTTCAGATTGTTGGCCATTCTAGGTAACAAGATCTATGCCAGAAACTGTAACTAAAGTCTGTTTGGCATCGTTGCAGTATAAAACCACAGGTTGGCTCTGTGGATGTTGAACAAACACAAATGTGCCTGAGCGAGAGTCTGCAATAGGGATTGACTAGCCGCCCTAATAGACAGATATCCTCGAATACGAGTAGCCAGCTATATATATATATATATATATATATATATATATATATATTAAGACATGTCTCATTAAATAATTTAGGCAAGTTTTGTATACTTATTTTTAATAGGATCTTGGCAGTAAATAGAGGTGTTGATATGCCGCTAAACGAAATCAACCAAACAAATAGTATGAAATAACTTTCATGACATTAATCCATATAATATTCTACAATTTCTTAATGAAATCAAACAGTATTCCAAAGAATAACTTCAATAAAACTACAGCATAAATCACACAAATCACCGCCTCTAACACAAACATATATATGGACACATCCTGGGTATCATCTACCATGTAGTCATGTAAAAGCAGAATAAAACATATATTTTTATTACTTCAAGGCTCCCAAGAAAATAAAATTTCTGCATTAAATGACTCATAAGGTGTTGATGTACCGTTAAACGGACATATATATATATATATATATATATATATATATATATATATGTGTGTGTGTGTGTGTGTGTGTGTGTGTGTGTGTGTGTGAAAATATATAGAAAATAGGAAGGAATTTGTTAGGTAAATAATCCAAAGTCCCTTAGTATTTTAGTTATTATTTTAAAAAAATAGTGCTCGATACAAAAGTAGAGCATAAATATAATTATTTATTTAAAAATATGATTCCAACTCGCGACATAAGAGGTCTCATGTTTTAAAACAAGAGCCGAAAACTTCAATATAATTATTTGAATTAAATTTCAGAAATCAGTTATTCCAAAAAAAAAAATTCGCTTGAAGATGGAACAGAGCTTACTTTAATTCAATTTAATTCAAATAATTATATTGAAGTTTTCGGCTCTTGTTTTGACACATGAGACCTCTTATGTCGCGAGTTGGAATCATATTTTTAAATAAATAATTATATATATATATATATATATATATATATATATATTTGTAAAAAAGTATTTCGGATACACCGTATATATATATATATATATATATATATATATATATATATATATATATATATATACGGTGTATCCGAAATAATTTTACAAATTTTGGGGCCAGGTCCCTCACACTACACAAGGAGAAAAGTGTATATAAACATATTTCCGCAAATCTTTTGTTTTTAAGTTATTTAATTTTAAGTTTACAGAAATTTTACGGTGTTGCTATGTAGACTAGTTTACATTTGTCATTCGTATACATTTGTGGCTAGTCCGTCTACTGTGTGTTCGGCTCTCCATCTCCTCACCCAGCGGCAATAGGTAAATAGCAGAACAGACTGAGTCTTATAGCCGTGGGTGGTGAACAGTCTAGGAGAAGGACAAAACCTGTAGAGTGTTTTTTGCATACCTTGTGACATAATGTGCAACAGTTCTCTGTATTTGGCTCTTCCAAAAAGGTTGTTGGTTCTGTATATGTCTTCCCCACTATAATCAGATGATAAAGGGATTGGACAAAATAACTGGAACACTTGCTAAATTCAAAGAAAATTTATTTAATATGGAATTGTTCCTCCTTTAGCCTCGCAGACAGCTTTAATACGTCTAGGAATGGAATCATACAGCTTCCTGACTTCATCCAGAGGAATTTTCAGTCATTCTTCCATTAAAACCTTCTCCAGCTCTTTACGACACGACGGTGGAGGATAACGGCTCCTAACTTGTTGCTCCAAAATGCACCACAAATGTTTAATAACATTGATATCTTGAGATTGGGGAGGCCACTCCATGTGTTCTAGCTCACTTTTATGCTCTTCATACCAATTCTTAACCACTTGAGCAGTATGTATTGGAGCATTATCGTCTTGGAAGATGCAGTCACCATCAGGGAATAAAGTCTTTGCCATTGGATGAACATGATCTCCTAAAATGTTCAGGTAAACTTTGCTGTTGATTCTACCATGCAGGGTAACTATTGGACTGAGACATTTCCATGATATGGCGGCCCAAACTATCACTGATCCACCTCCATGCTTCACTGTTGGAAGAAGGCAGTCAGGGTTATAAGCTTCTTTGGGCTGCCTCCACACAAAAACTCGCCCTGAAGTTGGGAAAAGAGAAAAACTGGACTTGAGAATATGACTTGCTTCCATTGGTCTGCAGACCAGGCATTTTGATCTCTGCACCACTTCAACCTCTTTTGAATGTTGCGAGTGGAGAGAAGAGGTTTCCTCACAGCGGCACTTCCATGATATGCAGCCTTATGGAGCTCACGGTGAACAGTTTTAGTAGAAACTGAACTATTCAGATGGTTATTCAACTCAGCAGCCACTTTGGCCGCATTTGTCCGATGATTTTTTGCCACATTGCGTTTCAGTGCACGTCAGTCCCGGTCAGTAAGTTTGCAATTCCGGCCCGAATTTCTACAGTTGCTAGAGGTCTTGTCCTGTTTCTCGAATTGCATCAGTGTTCTTGATATGGTAGCTCTTGAAAAACCAAACAGTTCAGCCACCTTAGTGATCGAGGCTCCTGCCATGCGAGCTCCAACAATTTGCCATTTTTCGAACTCGGAAAGGTCACGCATTTAGCTTAGATTTTACTAAATTCTAAAAAAAATAAGACAAAGACAGTAAATTAGATAAATAAACGTATTTACAATAGACATAACCTGCAATTACGAAGTTTTAGTTAAGGTTCTTAATATAATAGGTCTTTGTAATATAGGAGTGAATTTTGCAACTGTTCCAATTATTTTGTCCAACCCCTGTATGTGTGAGTAGTCTGGTTGTTGGTTCTAAGAACTGAGTTGCTTGACCCTTATATGTCGAAAATAATGGGAGAGTCCAGTATATATCTATAAGCAAGCACGTGTACTTGTCGAACATGCACTTGCAGTAATCAAAGAATAGCTGAAATGTCTCAGATGTCTGTCATTCCAGTGACTTCTATTTCTTTTTGCAATGCCGATTGCTCCTGCACTTTATTCCTTCATCTGTCAAAGTGCAAAAGTCTTCTTTTACCTATATTTTTATTCCATAGGAACTATTTTTCCTGGCCTACACGTTATCGATTAGATTTGCTCGCAGAGCCAATTGTGTGCCGAGAAAGAATCAACTGTTGCTACATCAAACCGATTGTACGTCTAAAAGAAAGCTGTAGATCGCATATTGCATGCATGCGACACGAATCTCATGGAAGAAGTATTCACGTCTTACTTCGTTACCAAACAAGCGAGAATCTCGCGAAAAAAAACAACAAAACAACACAAACCACATAATCTTATTGTTAGATTGGATCCAAAAAAAAATATCGGAATTTTTCCGTATATTTTCGAATATACCGGAATTGGTGAATATGATTTATTCATCTTGTTATGCAAGTATTGCTCGATAGAGGCTTCCATACAATAAAAACCGATTACCGCTGTAAAATAAATTATAAAATAACTCCGAAAAACATGTCGATATATAAACAACTTTTGACGAAGAAACATCTAGTTTGCCGAATATTTTATGTTTATTCGGATTATTAAGTAATCAATCTTAACCCCTCCCTTCATATACGATAGATTAACTGTATTGTCCGACGACGAAGCTATTGAAGGATATTGTTATGGGGTCTTCCCCTTTTTCATATAAGTGGACTCGACCAGAGTGTTACTTGGACTGCTGCCGTTAAATACCCAGAGTCAGTCAGAATAGAGAGAAAGAAAGAAAGAAAGAAAGAAAGAAAGAAAGAAAGAAAGAAAGAAAGAAAGAAAGAAAGAAAGAAAACAAACAAACAGTGATTGTGATTGAGTTGGAGGTAGAGTAATAGTGTGAGGTAACCGCTTGTAGAAGTCAGTTACAAGCACGTAGACTCTAAGAAAGTCCTACTTCGAGACTGTGTATATATATATATATATATATATATATATATATATAGTGTAACCTGGATATAAGAGAGTTGTCGGAACCGGAGAAGAAGTCTCTTATATCCGGGTTTCTCTTATATCCTGGTGTCTCTTATATCCAGGTTTGGTCTATTTTGTTTAGGTAAGTATGGGATCACTTTGGAACCAGAGAAAATCTCTCTTATATTCGAGTTTCTCTTATATCAGGGTCTCTTTTATCCGGGTTACACTGTATATAAATATTATTATTGCTACTAACCGCGTTCCTGGATTTACTAACAGTATACCCATTGTATTATTGTTTAAATACATTTAATTTCTTATCGTTATTTCTTGCGTTTGTTCTTCATTGGAGACCGAATTTCATCTCGGAATCCACAACAGATATATTTGTGTGTTAAGCGGCATATCAACTCCTTATGGGTCATTTAATGCCAAAATTTAATTTTCTTGGAAGCATTAGCAATTTTCTTTACAAAAATGAATTGCTGCTTTTTTTATTTATTTATTGCTGCTAAATGTATCGTTGGTATCACTACAAAAATATATTTTAATACATTTATAGTGTTTGACCCCAGTCTGGGGGTTAACTATTTGCTCATAGCTAGGA